TGGTGTGTGTGTGTGTGTGTGTGTGTGTGTGTGTGTGTGTGTGTGTGTGTGTGTGTGTGTGTGTGTGTGTGTGTGTGTGTGTGTGTCAGCCCAGGGAGGGAGGTGGGGGCTGATGTCAGGGTTTCCCCCTCCCCCTGCCTCAGGACTGGTTGCTTCGTGCCGCTGTCTGAACTTACAAGACAGCATGCTGACACACTTTCTGTCCCCCAAAACACACTGTGTCTCTCCACTCCTCCATGCACACACACACTCCCTGTCACACACTCCCCCCACCCCGACTTCCATTGAAAAGCAGCTGGCAATGTAGTAGGATGCCCATGGAACAATGGGATTGGGAAACCTGCATCATGTGGGGCTGTGCCTGCTCCGGGACACAACCCTTAATAACGAGCTGAGAAAGGGAAACCCACTACAACGGCCTTCCCAGTCAGTTCTCTCAGGACATCACAGACACACACCTCAGACTTGGAGGGGCAAATCCTGCCCCCTGTTCCATGTGTGTTGGGGGGTCTGACTTACTGGGACCAGTTCAGGCCTGCTGGAGAGGAGGGGGGCAGGATGCTGCTGGGTCCCTGCACAGGTCTCTACACCCTGAGCACCTCAGAGCTGCGCTCAGTGAGGGATCATGTGGGGGTTAGTCATTATTATTCAAGTATTCCAGTAGTGCTCAGAGGCCCCAGGCAGATCAGGGCCCCATTGTGCTAGGTACTGTACAAATATCCTGGCCCCAAATAACTTACAGTCTTAGTATAAGGTGTAACAGGCAGGTGAAAGCCAAGTTGGGGCTAGAAGTAAAGATGAAATGACAATAATACAAGCAGGCTTGGTCTCAGCCCACCCCCCACCTCGCCACTATGTGCTAGCACTGCTCAAGGTGGGCATCCTGGATTGGAGACAGGAGAGATGCAGAGGGAGCTTGGGGGACTCTCTGGTCATTTCTCCTCAAGGAGCGGATGGGTCGGAGCCCTGAGGCCGCAGTAGCAGCCTTGATGCCATTGTCTTATGGCAATTTGGCCCTGTCATTTGGGAAGCCAAAAGGGAAGAAAATCCTTCCCTAATTAACAAAGCAGGAGTTTTAGATTACAGAACGGCCCGTGTCTCAAACCTTCCGCTGTTGGAGAGCCTGTGGGGAGTGCCCTAATAATAATTCCTCTTCATAAAGGGCCAGATTCTGCCACCCTTGCTAATACTGAGTAGTAACCATCAGCTGCTTGCAGACTCAGGGGCAACTCACTGTGAACAAAGGGTGGCAGAATCTGGCCCTTACACCTGACTCAGAGCCCAGTGGAGCCAATAGAAAGATTCCCACTGACTCCAACAGTCTTAGGATCAAGCCCGGGGCAGGGCTGCTGGGCTCTCTCCCCAGTCCAGGCAGGACTATCACTACTCCAGAGATGCTTTCGGGCCCTTCCCCCAGGGCATAGTTTATTCATTCAAATAAACACACAAAGTAACAAAAAACAAGGCCATTCCCCTGACCAATACAAGCTGCAGGGGCCCAGAGGCCTCTCACTCTGTACCCCTTTCTCTGCTCCAGACCCAGGAGCAAACCTCCCCCTCCTGCAACTCCCCCGAACTGAGCTCTCTCAGAACTTTACAGGCAACACCGGACCCCTGCCTAGCTGGGTCTGCTAACTGAACAAGGCTGGCCGGCCCCAGACGCTTAAAGGGGCAAACCACCCTGTTACACCCTGATTCAGGAAGGTGCTTGTGTGTGTGTGTGTGTGTGTGTGTGTGTGTGTGTGTGTGTAACTGAGCTCACAAACAGTCCTCTTGATGTTGATGGGGCTACTCACACGCTGAAAGTTATTCATGTGCTTACATACCTTCCTGAATTGGGCATTAAGTGGGCTCCTATATTACACAGACTGCTGCCAATTTATGGATATTCTTTTTTTCCCTCCCACAATCTGTTCATTAATCACATTTGTTTCTTCCACACTACTTACAACAACACACAACTATTCAGAAACAACAGTGCGGGAGCAAGGGAAAGACACAACTGGGTGAAAACAAAGTCATTTTCCAAGGTAAGTTTCACGGGGAAGCAAAACATTCCACAAAGTTACGGACAAAAGTTTGAAAATCATGTAAAATAACAAATGACCAGGACTTTCCACTGGCCTTTCACTTCCTGCTATCCCATTTCCTATCATTATCCGCACACTTTCCTTTATATCCTGGGACAGAAAATTAACTCTCAGAAAATGTTTTTCTTTCACAACCTTCCTGCACAGCCCTAGGTTCCATGATCTGTTTTTTGGTTCTGTATTTTTAAACTCATTCCAAAAATAAATGTTCCCATTTTAGTATGAAACCACATTATACATCTTACAAAACTGCAGCACAGAGCTTAGCATTAACTGTCCAATTTGTGTTTCTCTTTTGGATTAATCTTGCAATCCGCACGTTCATGAATAGTTTCACTGACACCCCTGTGGCTAGGGCTGCAAGATCTGGTCCTTACAGAGCAGTTAAATAGATGCAGAATTCCAAACCCAGATCATTCTAAAACTCAGGGGAGTTCAAATCTGGGGTTTTGGAACAATTTGCTAAACTTGCATCTGGATCCAGGTTCTGCGTTTCAACACACTCCAAGTTCTGGGGTGACATGGTTTTGATTTGGGCTCCTCTCTGCTGATAAACGAACACTAGTATTATGTTTTGAGGTTAATATGCAATTAAGTGCACTTATATATATTTTTTAATTTTGGTCTCTCCCACTCACACACTAAACAAACACCCGGGACAGAACAAACTGCTCATGGAGAGACATCAAAATATTTGTTTGATCGTATTTGTTTTGCCAAACAACAGATCCACACATATATGTTCACTGCAAATATATAGATAAAATTACCAAACTGAAGTTTATAATTTTAGAATTTCTGTGCCATTTTGCCCCGGTAACAATCAGAGTTATATTCTACCCATAGCTACTAAATCTGGACAGAGATGTAACAGACAGCATAATTTTGCCCAGTGTATACATAACTTACAAAGACACCAGTCACAGACAAACCATAACACACAGCAATTGAAATGAGAAATAAATAAGAGAACCTCTTTTCAAGTATTATAAGTAATGATTAGTGACCAATAGAGATTTTTAGTAAGGTTAGGGTCCAACCCTGCAAAGTGTGGAATTGGGGATGTTCAGCACACAGCCTGAGGAGCTCGATGCTTCACAGTCCTTGCACACCCAAAACTCCTAGGGACTTCAGTGGGAACTATGAGTGTGCAAAGAATGCAGGATCAGACCCTAAAAAGTTTACTTTATCGGGGGATATGTATACGTGTTCTCTTCCCTTTCATCTGGTAACTGCAATTTGTCCCCAAAGTACTAATGAATTTTAAACAGTCATAACAAATCCAAATAAACAGATCATCGTTTTACTACGTATTAGTAATTTTAAATGGCTGAGTACTTCTTTCCTTTGACTTTCAGCTGCTAGGGCAATCGGCTTGGTGAAAATGCACATTCTAACTGCCTGCCAAAGGAGATGGATTAATGGGCTGTTATATGTTCATTAGATTGAAAACATTAAAGCTGGAATGGGCCTCTTCATCTCATCCCTGCATCTCCTGGGAAATCGCAGCTGAAAACATGGCTAACCTCTCACCTGTGCCTCTCACTATCTCTAACATCTGTTCTTTTAACTGTATTTATGGACACAATCCAGCAAGCCTGACTCACATGAAAAATGTCTATAGAAATGATCTCCTTCTGTAGGTTATTAGGTTGATTGCTTTAGAATCCTATTTAATTTCTGTAGAACTTTCTCAGATGTTGCTCTAACAAGGGGTGAAACTACAAATGTTCTATTGAAATCAAACAGGATTCCAAAGCAATCAACCTACAAACCTACAGAAGGAGATGATTTCTGCAGGATTCTTAAACCCACCCATAGAACTGAACAGAGAATTGTAACCCTGCTCCCGAATTCTATAGCTTCATTCAAACATTCTATAAGAAGACCACCATTCTCTATGGAAATCTATAGGGCTTTTCCTAAAGGGGAGAGGCTCCAGCATGGTTCTCTAAGGATTACACAGCTGAGGAAGGGGGTGCTGGGACGAGGCACTCTCTTTGTAAAACATTTTGGGGGACAGTTTGTAGAAAATGCTTTACAAAGAAAGGACCCGATCCTGCAAACCCTTCTTCAATGGGACTAGTTCCCATTGACATCAATGGGGCTACAGGCATGAGTCAGGAGTGCAGGTTAGGTTTCTAGACAGACAGATGGACCTCGATGGAAGTTTCGCCATCAACATCAATGGGTCCATGGCTTTACCCGTATTGCGTCCAGATGTAAACGCTGCCTCTATAAGGACACTCAAAACACACCACAAAGAGGGCGAACCAGCACTTACCATGGGCTTCTTATATTCATTAGGTTTGATGCAGCGGACGAAGAAGGGCTGGCACCCGCTGAGGGTTCTCATCAACAGCTCAAGAGATCGCTTGAACTGGCTGCTGAGTGTCGGTGAGCGCTTCCTTGTCTCTGCTCCCTGGAAGAGAGTGGAACCACAACATATCTGTCTCAGGAAATGAAAGGATAACAGAGCTTTTCCCCTCTAGCCAAGTCACCGGGAACCTCCTCCCTAGCTGGAGCGGGGGCGGGTGTGTGTGTGTGTGTGTCAAACGTGGTGCAGGGATAGCGTTCAGACTTACTGGCTGAGGAAGCAAAGGGGAGAACTGAAATATCATCTGTTTCTGGAAACTACATGGAGGTTTTTCCCCATGAGGCTTTCAGATTCATAGTTTGCTATGAGTTGGGCCAGCTCCTGAGCTGGTGGAAGTCAGCACAGCTCTATTTACACCAGTGGAAGAACGGCCCAATTGTGCGTATTTCCATCTCCCTGCTCCAGACAGTACATGTGGCATGAGACCATGCAGTCAGCCAAAGGTGCCTTACATAATGCATGCCTAGCAAGGACTAGAGGAAATCCCTGAGTGTGCAGGAATTACCTCCGGGCAGAGGAACCCAGGAGCTTCATAGTAAAGTAAAGGCCATCATTTTTATTTCTCGTGGACCTGCTTGATGCTCCAAACAAGGATCTGCACTGGCTTGTTGCATCGTTGAGATGTTATACAGGAAGTCAGACTAGATCTAACGATCCCTCCTGGCCTTAAAACCGATCAGTCTATAAAGTCTGTGAATAGAGACTTGGACCACAAGGGGGAGTGAGGTGTCTCAGCCCTACACTCTGGGTGGGCTATGTGGACCTTGGGTCTAGGCACACAGATGGGAAGTGGCTCTTGCCCTATCAGATGCACCGGGCAGCACAGCTGACTCAAGGCCAGGGGTATTGTAATTTGCCGATAGTGTCATGCAAGACTCCAATGATCTTTACTGAGTGTTGGATCTTCAGGCCCATAGGGACACAATCAAGCCCTTAAATGGCACCAAGGCATTTTCACAGAAGATTTTTGAACTTGGATTTGTTGACTTTCAGGGGATGCTGGCAAGAGCTGTCTATTTTCCCCAGCTTCCATTAAGTGGATTCATGTTGGAAGCATCTTCTCTGTGTTTAGAAGAGGATATTAACTGGACTGATGGGGGGACAACTTAATCTGGGGTGAGTTAGGGTGATTTTGTGGATGTCCATTCAATTTCTATTTTCTGGGTAGGTTTTAAAAAATCCGTTCAAGGCTTAGAGCTCTAGCTAAGTGTACATTACATTTCCATCCGCTAGCCACTTCTCCCTAGCCGGTGAAAACTATGAACAGTGTAGGTCTTGAAAGCCTTGTCAGATTAAGCCCCAGGAAAGTGCAGCAGAATTTAGTTTATCTGAGTCCTTTTTATCAAATTATCCATGCTTGGGTTACGTCCTACAATATGCATCAATTACACTGATAAATCATAGCAATAAATCGTGTGTCCCTTGTCCTATTCAGTTCTATGGGGTTCAACTATACATCAAAAGCTATCTAGATGTTTAAAGAACGCTTATGGAAGATGTAGGTAACACCAGAGGACTCGGTTGAGTTGGGCATCAGACTGTAACTCCATGGGACATGGACATCCCACTAGATAATCAGTCCTGGGAGGATTCCAGAGGATTAGGTGGGAGGTCCCACAAAGAAAGGATTTTGCCATGCCTTTTCCAAAGGCCTTGCGTTCTTTACTGGCTGATGAGCAGGGGCTGCAGACAAAAAGTGGCCCCACTATCATGGGCAATATTTGCCAAATGTTATGTATTTTTCTCAGTTGCTAAAAGTGCCCATCACCAAAGTCTCTGGGCACTGCGCTAAACATACAAGCAGCACCTTGCTGGAGGACATCAACATTGAAGACTTTAACCCCGCTGGAAAACTCTCAGGAATTTTGAACAGCTCTGGCCATAGGCAATTGTACAATGAAGCCCAATCAACAAAACAGAAAGTCATCATGGAATTCCAAAAGGGAAAGTGAACAGTTCAAGTCCAGCTCATGCACACACCAGAAAAACCCAGCAACGCCAGAACAGGAGAGTTTAGTGCGGCAACCGTTAGCTATCCCAGCAAACCTTCACACGGGGATACATTGCTAACATATGTAATTTATATCAACAGACACAGACCCGGACCCCTGCGAGTACTGTGGAGTTGGTGATAAATACCCTGTTAGCAGAGTCTGGTTTGAGGAGGACAGGTTGTGTCAGCGATAATACTGCTCGGATAGCAGGAGGGCAGTGGGATGAGGCTGCTTTAAATCAACAGCACCACGCAGCTTTGCTAATTCAGTATAAGTGGCCACCTCCAGTGCAGCACGGCGGGCTGGCTGCTGGAGGGGTTAGAAGCAGATAGAGAGGCAGAAACCAGGCTTAGCAAATTCCCATTTTGGAAGTGAATGAAGGTGTCCTTTCCCAGCACAACGATCTGGGCCTGACCGGGAGGCCCTTGTTCGGCCCTGCTAGGGCGGAGGGGTCATCAGAAGCCTTCCAAGGCCTCCTAAAACAAGGAACACGGGGACTGTTTGCTGCTGGGGAGGGGGCCATCCTGCCTCTCTAGATTGCTTCCCAGCTTCTCCTCAGCATCCGCCTCTTCCCACGCATCCTGCCGCCAGCAGAGGGGCACGGTGCAGGTTTCACCTCCAGGCCTCAGTGCCTCTTCCAATGGCATGACTGGGGAGACTGTTCTAACACAAGCTGCCAGAAAGCAACTTAGGTTCCAAACGCTCCAGCCTTTATATCAGTGATTCTCAACCTGCGGCCCGCAGGCCGCTTGCAGCCCAATCAGCACAGAGCTGCGGCCCATGTGACATCCTCAGGGCCATACAGGTAGTATTGGATGTGGCCTATTTACAATGGTAAGTAGGTTGAGAACCACTGCTCTATATACAGGCAGGGCTTATGTAGCCCACGACTCGCCCAATCAGAGTAGAGCGCTCAGCGGCTGCAGGGTCCCCATTAGCACACAACACTTTGCGTCTCACCTCTGTACACAGGCCACTCTGAAAAATACAGTGTGAGATCCAGGGCCCGGGATCCGCACGAGAAATTAAATTATACACAAAAACCTCAAGCAAGGCTTTGGACCAGACTTCCCTCTCATGCTGGTGTAATTCCACTCAATTCAGTGGTGTTATTCCTTTGTACACCAGTGTCAGTGAGCGGAGAATCAAGCCCTTTTCTTTTATTCCAACTAAGGGGTCAAAAAGAGGAGTAGACAAGCCTTCCAGGAAGACTGGTTAAGGCAGTGATGGTGTCAGTTTCACCTTGAGAGAAAGAAATTCCTTTGCTCCAAAAGCAGCAAACTTCCATGGGTCAGAAGGTATCCCTTGGGGAAAGACCAGCATTCACATAGGTACTTCCTAGCTTTCGCAGTTTTAGCCGGTAAAAGTCTCTGGGGCAGGGACTATCTTTTTACTTGTGTTTGTACAGCACCCAGCACTATATGTGCCCCAATTGGAACTGGGGCTTCTGGACAATGGCATAAATATCGTACCTCAGCAGAAGGCTAGCAGGCCTCCCTAATGACCAGCCAGGTCAGAAGTTTGATTTGGCTCTCAAACTAGGCTGGCCTAAAGTGAATAATTTCTCCACTTTGGAAAAAAACAAGGAGACTCAGATGACGTATGTGGGAGATATGGATACAGAAGGGAGACACGGGAAGGCATGCGTTCCGCACAGCACTCATAAAAAGAAGAACAGGAGGACTTGTGGCACCTTAGAGACTAACAAATTTATTAGAGCATAAGCTTTCGTGGACTACAGCCCACTTCTTCGGATGCATATACAGCACTCATACACGCTTCAGATGGACTTCCTTCCACCACCTCAGATCAGCCTGGGTTCTACAGCCAGAAAACTGCATGCTGCCGTACGCAGTAACCCAGCGCGGGATACAAATCAGCACTGACTCCACTGGCGGGACACAACACAGGCTTCTGCCCAGTGCTGGCTGCCTGTGTCCCGCAGTGGTGCGGGGTAGTCACCCACTCCTGCCTGGGACGGGTTAAAGCCAGCCCTGCAGAGGGCTGGGGCTGTGTAAAGAAGCAAAACCCCGGCTGATAGGGGAAGTGGCTGCAGCTGGGGCCACGCCCTAAACTGAGCAACTCAGCCTTATAAGAAGGCCAGGGCAGCCAGACGCTGAGGAATCCCCCTCTGACTGGGCAGACAAACTAACTAACTAACTAACTAACTCACTCACTCACTCACTCACTCACCTGGGGACTTAGAGTGAGGCAGGGCTGGGGAAAGGCCTTAGGAGCTGGGAAGCCCTAGGCCACCAACTCCCCAGGCTGCAGGGCCTAGTTCTAGGCCCACCTAGGTATTGGGCTTGCAGAGGGGCAGCCTGAGGTTGGGTAAAGGCAGCCGGTCCAAACCCAACCTTGCCTGTGATGAGTGGCTGATACTGCAGTCTGCCCCAGTGAACGGGGGCTAGATGGAGACTGGACAGTAGCCAAGACTGTGGCAAAGTGGGGATAGTGGGTGGGGGTTCCCCAGGGAGGGGGAGACCCAGAACTGTGGGGGTACTGCCAGGGGGCAGCACCCCAGGTAAAAGGGCACTGGGGTCCTGGGAGGGACATGGGGCCAGAGGACAGGCAGATCACCAGCCTGCAGAGGGCGCTCTGGAGCAGGAATGAGCTAATTCCTGGAAGTAACCAGCAGGAGGCGCCGCAGGGGTGAGTCCGCTCCTCTACACGCAACAATGGTCAAGGCTGGAGCTAGGGCTGACACTAGCCATTTTGGTGCCCTACTCAGCCCCCCCCATGGGGCTGTTTTGGGCCCCAGGCCTCTTGCAGGGGGCTGGCCCCAGGCCTCTGCGGGGGGGGGGGAGGTCAGGGGGGAAATTGTCCCCCAGCATGAGCCCGTGGAGAGGAGTGGGCTGGGGCCAGGTCGCTCCACTTCCTGCTGCCTGGTGAGTGCAGGGCAGCCAGGCCGACCCCACACTCATGGGGTGGCGGAAAGTGGAGTGACCCGGCCCAAGCCCACTCCACTCTGGCTCCCAGCCTTGGGGGGCAGGGAGGAACCACCCCCCAGCACTTGCCGGCAGCACGGCTGGGAGCCAGGGGAGCGGAGCG